AAATCCAGTCAGGTTGATCCCTGTCGTGTCCTTCATGCTCAGTAGGGTAGTGAAATGTAGAAACCAGTCTTTCTCTTCTGTGAATGTTGAATATTTGTCATGACTAGTACGCCTAGAGGGCGCTCTACTTCTCTCCTATCCCTAGTTCCCTGTGATTATTCATGTCTTTCTGGTGTGTCTTGTTGTGTAGCCTATTTATGTCCTGCTTCTGCTCTGCTCCTCGCTCAGCATTGAGGTTCAGATGTCCTGAGACCCACCTAGCACCAGGTCACTCCTGTCCATGGCCTAAGGGCATAGATTTCTATACAGCATTTCCTGAGCAGCTGAGCCCGGGCTAACCCCCTCCCCCCGCTATGCATAGGGTCTATTTTCACTCTCCTGCCATTCCACGGTTTGTCCCTTCCGACATCCGTGACAATATTATTCTCCCAGAACTATTCCAGCTTTTGAAATACATGGTGGAAGTAGGAGCTTGTCCTACAGAAGCAGGAAAGTCATATAAATTGATTAAAATGATTAATAACAGTGAACTCAACGGTGAGTGAACATTGGTAATAATAATAGCTTTAACAGGTGCAGATGTTTTCGGTAGTGGAGGGCTAGTGACAGGGTTTTGGTGTCAGATAGCCAGAACTCACCATGGCAGCACACAGAGTTGTTCTTCCCTTGGAGGTCAATGCTGTTTGTGAGTTTTTTGAATTCACAGTGAATTTGTAAGAATTTTCCCTTCATTGCCATGGTCTGTCAATGACTGTACTTTGCATTTTCATTCTCTTTACCAAGATTTCCTGTTGTTTGCTCTAAGCTTTAATGTATAAAGTGTGCTATACTAAACGTTATATGCTTTTTACCATAGTACTCCACAGTAAACCTTTTTTAAGGTTTATACTATTCCCTATCACCTTGTAAAGCTACAGTCTGTTGCAGAGAGGTCAGTATTACCCCAAATTCTGGGACAATAGGAAAGACACACTAACTAAAGCAGAGCCAGGAAGTCTTTAGGGAACAGAAGATATTTTTCCAGTAAAGGTTAAGAGTGAGGAAATAAATGTGTCCATTCCCTAAACATTCTATGTAGAATCACTCAGTGTCCACATCATTTTAGTAAATTCCAGATTCATTTTTTTTCAACCCCAAGTCTTGAAAACAGAACGCAAGGCAAGACTACACACTGAGAGGGATTCCAAAATATGACACTTAGAGACACCAAAATAACATGGAACAGCTGGAAAATGGGGCGAACATTTTAACTCCTCACATAAGACCAAATCCAGGGATCAAACCCAGTGCTTCATGGATCCATCTGTTTCTATATAGTATTTAACACACATACAGTACAAAAACCTTAGACACCAGCTAAGTTGTTTAAATATTAATAGGGGACAGCTGGTCTGGTGTGCACGGCTTTTAGTGCCAATTTCTCAAAGCGTCTGTTTAGTTCTAATAGTAGAAGGATGGGTTGGGGGGAATCTTATTGAGTGCATGAAATGTGAGTAACACTCCCCCACCCCATTTTAGATATGCTGCCAAGAAGGGCAGCCTAATTGAGTGTGGCAAGCACTTAGCATGAAAATGAATGGGCAGCAGTCACCCAGACACTATGTTTTAGCTTGCAAGCTAAGGATACATTGTTCTACAGAGCAGTGTGTGGGGAGGCAGCTTTATGTAGTATCATGCTAATGTAAGTGCTTATACTAGTAAAGCTTATGACATTGCATGCATATATTACATAGAGCACTTCACCGAAACCTGCAGTCCCTCTAGAAGTCAAATTACCAACAAATGTTAAAATTGTAAAAACAAAAAAATAGATGGTATAAGTTTACAATTCTCTCTAAACCTCAGGTACTGCTTTGTACTGACTCAAAATAATTAACACTTACTTTCTCAAATACCTACAGCACTACCCTTCCTTCATAAGTTTCAGGGTCAAGTGAAGGATAAAGGCAGCGCTAAGGCAGTGCTAAGCACTGAAGCTTAGCAGGTGTGAGCCTGGTCTGTACCTGGATGAAAGACCTCCTGGGAAGAACTAAGGTTGCTGTTGGAAGAGGTGTTAGTGGGACCAGCAGGGGGCGCTCACCCTGCAGTCTCTGTGGGTCCTAATGCCCCAGTATAGTGACAGGGACACTATACTATAAAAAGGTGCCGTCCTTCGGATGAGATGTAAAACCGAGGTCCTGACTCTCTGTGGTCATTAAAAATCCCAGGGCGTTTCTCGAAAAGAGTAGGGGTGTAACCCCGGCGTCCTGGCCAAATTTCCCATTGGCCTTTACCAATCATGGCCTCTTAACAATCCCCATCTATGAATTGGCTTCATTACTCTGTTCTTCCCCCCACTAATACCTAATGTATGGTGAGCGTTTTCACCTAAAGGTGATCAGCTCAAGTCTCTTTCACACTGTTGGTTAGAGGGTATTCGGGGAGACCAGAGCTATCACCCTGTGGTGTTTAAGAGATGATACTCGATGGAGCTGAACTGCCACAATAGCAACTGGGTAGAAGGACTTGGAGAGACTAAGTGGGAATGGAGCTCTGCTCTCCGTACCTCTCTATCAACAACCCATCCCCTGCGTCAAGGCAATATCACCTTCTTTCGTCAAGGAAATGAGCAATACTTGTCTCACAACATTTGTAATTTGAGTTCTATCTGGTATTTCTGTGACAAATAAGTAAATTTGAAGAACAGAACATACCGATTTTTCTGTAACAGCATTTAAACCTAATGTAAATCTAAAAATCCTAAAATTAGATTATTTCTTATCACAGTTTGGTCATTTTTTCCAAACACCCACTCTCCTTTGTGCAAGGGCATATTTCCTGTCTGCTTCTATCTGCATCTACATTTAACTTCTAGCTACTTCCTGTGTTCTAATCCTGCTCTCCTGGGATCTGGTAGAATTGGTGTTTGAGGCTGATTTTTTAATTTGAATTATTTTATTGTGTTCCTGACTTGTTGCATGTGTTCTTTATGGCTTGTTATGCTTCAGCTGACAATTTCAGCTGGCTGTGCTAGCGACTAGCTCCTGCTAGCGAGGAAAATTGCCCTCAAAGGAAACACTAACAAGGAGAGTTGTATCAACGCAAGAAATATATTGGCCTTCACTAGCTTGTCAAAGTTAATAATTTCTGTTCTTCATTTAAATCTAAGGTGCAATTTTTTACATAATGCGAGCACACTTTTTGTTTTTTCACATAGATATTACTGAAGAACATGCCTAATTTATTTTTAGTTCCGAATATGTGTAAAGGTACTTAAAATGATCATTTAACCTTCTGGATTCATTTATCCTTCATGTATATTCATTTTTCTTCTGTATGTGTGTTCAGGATACACATGCAACTCAGGATGTATACAATTTCTGTTTCTTAACACAGTGCCAACAAAATGCCAATTTTTTTAATTTAGTTTTTTTCATTTTTTATTATTTTACAAAAACAACATATAATGCTCTTTCACATAAACACATTAACAAACATAACCTCAGAACCTGAAGAACAGACTTCCTTTCCCATCAGCCTCTCAGGGCCTCTGGCCATAGACAAGCCCCTCTCTCTGTGGGGCAGGATAGGTCATCTTTTCTGGGCAAATTATCCTGGCACAATGCCAGTCAACATTTGGGTTCTCAGTCTCTAGAATCTTGTGGCAGTCAAAGCAGCCCTCCACACAGCGCCTCTCTGAGGGCAGTCACACCTCCATGAAGTACATGCAGTAGATCTCCTCACCCAGGTGCTGCTGGGAGGTGCAGTCCAGGAACTGAAAGGTCTGGTTGTGGAAGCCATGTTAGTGCTTGGGCAGAGACTGTAGTGCAGAGTGAAAGTAAGGCCTTAGTCCAGAGCACCATCCAGATGCAGAATATTGTTAACAAACCAATTTCAATCTGCCCTGTCCTCAGAACAGACATAGGCACAGTATGTCTTTAGAGCAATAGGAGGACTTCATTAACCACAGGCCACAAAGATGATACTCACTGTCTTGTGCTGGGCTCTTGGGCTCTTGGTTCTTCAATCTTTCCTATTCTTTTGTTTCAGAATGTGTGTGACATGTTTAGATATGTGACATGTTTAGATATGATTTCCATTAGCTGTCTGAGTTTACATTCCACCAATCAGAAACTGATGCGTCCTAGCGTCATTGGGCTTCTATGAGGTTCAACCAGTAGAGATGCTTGCTGAGTGCAGATTGAGCGCTGTGATCCAGGTGTCATGGGTTCAAGCCTGGGTTGCTAGGTAACTGTGACAAGGATTCCCCAAATGATGGTGTCCCTTTGGCTGAGTGTACCTGAGAGTATAGTCAGTGACTGCCCCTTGTGGCCTCATGCAGCCTTTCAGGCTTGTGGTCCTATGAGTGAGGTACTGTAGGCAATGAACCTCTGACACATGGTGATGTGTTGGAAGAGGAACGGGGCAGAGAAGTCTCCTGTTGTCGATTATAGGCTCATGAGCTAACATGGGAAAAACAATTAATTGGTGATTCCAAATCAGGTAGGAAGAACAAAAACTAATTGATTCTAGCTTTTTTTAAAAAACGGAATTCTCTATCATGCTGCCCAAAGGAATATTACAAACTTTGTATTACAGAGATTATTCTACAGTAGATATACCAAAAATATTAAGCAATCCTGAATGTAAAAGATATATAGTTGGCTGAACAGATCCCTCTCATCTTTAAAAAAGATGCATCACCTTTTCTACGAAAAATACAATTACATTTGTGCCTTCTTAAACATTCCTTGTGTACTTTTGTAGCACTTTTACTAGGTTTATATGTATTTTTGTCAAACATTTTCCTTACCAAATGAAATCTATTAAAACATATACAAAATTCAACTGTTATTGTAGTTATCAACAGTTTATAAGGATAAATGTATTCATACATATACATATATATGTAGATTCATGTCATTTTGTATTACAAAGGAATATTTTACCATACATTGGCAGTGGATGTGTGATACTGCTGTTTATGTGACCATCTCTGCCACCTTCTTTGTCCCCTACAGTACTGGATCAACGAGTACACATCCACCCTGGGGATTGGAGTTTTCCATTCTGGCATAGAGATCTACGGCAGAGGTAGGAATTACAATGGGGGGGGGGGGGGGGACATTGCAGAGAAGATGCTTTTGGGGGGATTTTATTAATTTCTCGCTAATGTATTTCCATATGTAGGGAATCCACCAAAGATTTATTTTTATATCAAACCACAATCAATCCCTGGAAAAACATTTAATACCTTCATGAGGAATTTCTTATTGATCTTACTGATCAAAACATGCTGAGTTGTTGGCTACGCTATAACTGGCATAAACTATAAAGATATTGAATTAAAAAACAAGAACGAGAAAGCAATTGTTATCGGATTTAATTCCTGGCCTGTTCAATATGTCTCGGTCTAATGTTTGGACAGATTCAGATTAACCAAGAATTATGATGACACAGCAGAAAGTGGACATCCATAACCGATGTTTTGTGCATTGTGCAATACCTACTGTAAAAATACATCGTAATTTAACTCACCACATCGTAATACACAGAAACCTCTCTTTTCATGGTCAGCAGAACCCTCGTTCAGTGGTACTTTGTACAGTTTTATGTATATTTGAGGATTATTCCTAATGTCCCTTTAGAACTCAGCAGTGATTCAACACTGCATAGATGAGCACCATGGAGGCTGGTGCAAGCTGTTTTGACTGGCACTAGATTAGTTTCCTGTACCTGTACAGTAGCAATGGGTTGTCTTCCGAAGCAAACGTGAACAGCTCTGAAGAAGCTATAAGCAAATAGTCTCCCAGGTTAGTGATCAGCCTGCCTCCATTTTCAAATGAATCACAAGTCCTTGGTATTTTACTGCCTTTACTGCTGCCTGCTTCATAGTCTCCTGATTCACATGGTTCACCACTGGTTGTGTTGAACCATTTTGTGCACAACACTGACACCAGGCCGGGGTGCTGGCATAACAACAGAGGTGACAGTTAACTCTAAGGCAGGGGTTCCCAGAAATAAGAATCAAGCACGTTTTCCATGTTTCCTTAAGTTATGAACATCTAAACCTTTAGGAAAAATAGCTTACAGAAATGTCCCATTTTGCTATAGGAATGTATAGCTTATCTGTAAATTGTAACCTATAAAAGGGTTAAAGTGTTTCATTTAAGGTTTCACCAGTCTAATTTATCCCTCCTTTACTTGTATGTTGCCTTAAACTGCTGGAGTCTTAGCCCTGAGTTCTGGAGCTCCTGTAGGAACCTCTGGTCATAAGTCATTGACAGACAATGAGGCTAACGTTGTGTAAGTGCATTAGTCCTGGTCTTGTGAGATAAATATATCCAATGTCTTGGATTTTCTTGGCTTCACTCACATTTCCTATTGGTGGCTGAAACTGCAGTATGTGAAGAAGAATTCTAAGAAGACAAAAAAGGTTAAAAATGATAGGAGTTCCAATCTCCATGAAAGAAGTTGGAATATCAGATTGAACAATGAAGACAGATGGTTTGAGCCATACTCATGCAACCCTAAAGAGGTGCCTCCTGTTCCTAGGCTTAAGTGACAAATCCTTAGTACTTCCTATTAGGCTCAGATTAATCTGTTGAAACCAGCCTAGACTAGATTGGCAAAGGATGTCATTCCCCTGAATTCCTTTCCGTTTCTTTCTGTTCCCTTAGAGTTTGCCTATGGAGGACACCCATATCCCTTTAGTGGGATCTTTGAGATCACACCTGGGAATGCTGCTGAGCTCGGCGAGACCTTCAAATTCAAGTGAGTGTGGCTATGAAAACACAAGAATCAAAAAATGGAATGGGAAGGATTATCAAAGAGGGGCAGTTTCCATTCCCGGGTGATGTCAGACTGAAGATGGACAGTGAGATGTGTTTATTACGTTTTCTTTAACACTCTTACCTGTTGTGATCGCTGTTGTGGCATCAGTGCTCTCTTTTCAAGTGCTGTACCTCCATGGATTTTCACTCCTCCAGTAGGTGTCAGGGCACATCAGCTTCCATTGTTGGCCTGATGGACCAGTGACAGAGCCGTACACGAGAATGATAGAATGGCAACAATCGAGGCCATTTGGCCCATCTAGCTTCGGTAGTTATTACTGTAGCTAATTGAACCCAGAGTCTTATCCTGCCATTTTCAATGAGCATTGTCAATAACACAGGCAGGTAGTCTTTTTCAGACTCCCTGCATTATAGACACTTTCAGACCCTTTGCATAAAGGGACATCTCAATGTTGAAATGCATTTTCACCATTTTCCTCTTGTTGGCATCTCTCTTATTCTAAAGATATCAGCTGGGTTGATTTTCTCGATGCCTTTGACAATTTTTAATACTTGCATCGTGTCACCTTATAGGCATCTCTGTTCAAAACAGAAGAGGTTCAGTTCCTTCAACCTGTCAGCGTAGATGATGCCTTTTAGTGTGGAAATGTGTCTGGTTGCTCTTCTCCAGATTGATTCTAGAGCAGCAATATCTTTTCCATTACGTGGCAACCAAGGTTGTTCACAATATTCTGAATGAAATTTTTGGAGTTTAGGTTTGGAGAAATTTGGCAGAACCCACTGCCAGAATGGCCCAAACCTCCTCAATATTTTGCACAAGGATATTAATGACAGGGTTAATATACAGTATGGATTCCATTCCTAGCCTGTTCTCTTTGACTTTTGACTGACTTCCAAAGTGATCTGTGTGATCCAAGTACAGTGAAGTAGTACTTGTATTACCCTTGAAGTCCTTTGAGGATATCTGTGTTTCAGCTCCATTATTGTGAAATGATAAATTGCCTTTCCTACATGGCAGAAATTGTGAGAGAGGGGATGAGGTGCCTTATATAAAGAGCTTGGGACACAAAAATGTTTGAACAAGATATAGATTTTGGTTATTGGATTTCACTACGAACAACAACACCCAAGAATTTAAGAGTACTGAAAGGATTATGGAGTGTTTAGTCAAAATTTGGCTTAACCTGCTTGGCTGAGGGCTAGCCTCCTGGCCATAGGAGCATAGGTGTGGTGCGGTGGCTCTGTGGATAAGGGTCTGCGCCTGTGGCTGAAAGGTTCCCAGTTTGTATCCTGCAGCCGGCAGAGGAATCCTACTCTGTTGGGCCCCTGAGCACAGCCCTTCACCCCAACTGCTCCAGGGTTGCTGTATAAATGGCTGACACTGCGTTCTGACCCCAAGCTTCTCTCCCTGCCTGTGTGTCTCATGGAGAGCAAGTGGGGGTATGAAAAAAGACAAATTCCTAATGCAAGACATTGTATACAGCCAAGTTGCAAAGATGGAGGTGGAATGCAAAAAGATGTATGAAAGGGAGCGCATACACCATTTAAACTGGTTTAGGAGAGGAGATGACTTCAAGAGTGATTGCTAATTACTGACAGCCGAGTCTGATTGAATTTGGTTTAAAACTTTCAAAATCAAAACTCCATTACTAGTATATTTTATTTTCAAGGCAAGCTACAAGTCTAACAGCTTTTTATGGAAAGAAGTACCTCTCCATCTTAAGTTTATCCGAGATTCATTTTGAATTGTGATCCTCTCACAATTTTCCACACAGAGATTAAAGCAGCATTTCAGTTCAACAAATCAAATTGTTTTATTTCCACACAAGGGTGATTCTGTTGTGGTGTCATTATTAGCACTCAAGACTCATGCATTAAAACTGCTGTTTTCAACAGCATTATGGAGGTACAAGCTCTGTGTGTTCTCAAGTCAAAGAATGAAAACTGTGTCTGGGTGGAAGTGAACTGCCTTGATCACTTAGAAATAGGTTGAATCAGAACGTTCCCTTCTTACATATTCATTTATTTCACCAAAACATTTAACTCACAGATTCCTATAAACCTCTCCAAGGGCACTGTCTCAAACACAAGTACTGTAAGTTCTTTTTTTCTGAGTTAGATTTACAACATGGTGACATGGCACTAAGCTTGGCTGCCTCCTGGCTCTTGGGTCTTGAGTTCAGTTTCAGCCAATGACACCTGCTGTGTGGAGTCTGCGTGTTTTTCTTTGGATTTCTCCAGACAGCAGAGAAATGAGAAATCTTCCACAGACCAGTTGCCTAGGTTAATCAGTGTTTTTTAATTCAGTGTTTCCTCCTGTGACTGTGTGTAAGAGGTGCTCTGGCAGTCCATCCAGGGTGTGGTTCTGCCTAGTGCCCTGTGCTTCCTCGACAGGCTCTAGATTACTACAACCCCCACTGGGAAAGGGCAGCTTTCTGATGATGGATGGGTGGATTTGCTATATGAAAAAAGGAGGAAGCAGTGTCACGTATACAAGAAAGCAGAATCAAATCTAAGAAGAGCATTGTTATGTATTTGATTGTACCTGATTTGAGCCTGATACCTACTGATGAGGGAGGAGTGGTAGCACTATAGCTAAGGATCTGTGCCTGTGGCTGAAAGGTTGCCGGTTCAAATCCTGCAGCTGACAGAGAAATCCTACTCTGTTGGACCCTTAAGCAAGGCCCTTATCCCTAGCTGCTCCAGGGCTGCTGTATAAATGGCTGACCCCAAGCTTCTCTTTCCTCATCTCTGTGTCTCATGGGGAGCAAGCTGGGGTATGTGAAAAGACAAATTCCTAATGCAAGAAATTGTATATGGCTTATAAAGTGATCTTATTTAAAAAAAAAAACAACTAAAATGAATGATAGAGGATCATTGTCAGTTTAATATCATATACAAAAGGAGGGAGGAAAATAAGATAGAAGCTTTGATTTTATTGAAGAACATGTTAGGGGGCTTGTTTGATGTGAACCTGTTAAAATTACGTACCCTTTTGGAGCCTGACAGGCAGTGCAAGCCCATCAGATCGTGTGACCAATTTCTAATTCAGTGTTTGCCTAACCCCTGAGTAGAGGGAGGTACCTGAGAGACAGCAGATCAATTCCTGGGTGAGGATGATCTAAGAGAAACACAAGAATGAGGCAGACAGAGGCACGGGCCTAAAACAAAGGGCATGTGTAGAAAAGGGTGAGAGAGGAGATGTGTCCAGCTGCTCCACACAGTTCTTTAGTAGACTGTATAGAGTGTCTTTGAGCTGGAGGCTTTGGGACTGAGCAGTCTTTGTGTTCTCAGGGAGGCTATTGCTCTGGGTACCACAGACTTCACAGAGGAAGATGTGGACAAGATTATGGAAGAGCTGGGGAAGGAATTCAAAGGCAATGCCTATCACCTGATGCACAAGAACTGCAACCACTTCTCCTCATCACTGTCAGAGGTGAGCTGATGACATGTTTTATCAAGAACTAGCCATCTGGATCCACTTGCTTCCCATTTTGAAATGCACCACAGAAATGGTTTGACCAGACGTGCACACAATTCACACAGTTCCCTGGGTTACAGCATCTCTTTGTGCGGGGATACAGTGATGAACAGGGATTTCCTAATTTGGCTCTACAAGAAAGCAATTCACAGTTCTAGATGGTGTTTTTTCTTCTTCCTTTCAGGGATCTCTGCCAGCAGTGCTTCAAGCCTGCGGGAATACATGAATGGCTCTAATGCCTCCCCGCCTTCCTGTCTGTGTTTTTCAGCTGCTGTGCGGCAGGGAGATCCCACGCTGGGTGAACCGTCTGGCCTACTTCAGCTCCTGCATCCCTTTCCTGCAGAGCTGCCTGCCCAAGGAGTGGCTGACCCCCGCCGCCTTGCAGAGCCACATCAGCCTGGGGCTCCACAAGGAGGAGCAGGCCGAGTCCAGCGATGAGGAGCCCCCCTCCACCTCAGGGGCCGGCGCTGCCTCAGGCTCCTCGAGGGGCTGCCGCCACACACGTGTCTGAGCCGGGGGTGGGGGGAGGCCGTGCCAGGAATCCGCTGAACCGCGCACCCCTGAGTGAGTGGCACAGCCATGAGGCCTAGGAACCTCACATGAGGGCCAGAGGGATCTCTCCCAGCTCACCCAGGGACTTTCTCTCCAATCCTTTGACTTGGCTCAAGAGACTTTTTGCCTCAGTTGGGGGAGACACGAAGAACAAACTGAATCGTCTCCAGTCTGGGAATTTGAACCTGGGAATAGTTCTAACCTCAGCCGGCCTCTGCTTCCCCGCTGAAAATTTTAGTGTAGTCTATCCCCGTGTAGTGGCGATAGCAGGGGCCGGTTCTTTTATCCAGTTATGTTTTAACAAGTATTGAATTGGGACTTTGCGTTTTGAAATCCTCAAGTAGTGATTTATTCAGGTTTTTTCCTTGCCTTAAGGGCACAAAAAGGGAGAACTGAGAAGTAGATCTGGCACTTTTATTTTTCCAAAATGCAAATGCTTAACAGAGACATTGCAATTTTAGAAAACTTTCAAAACCGTGCCAAGTATAAAGATTGTCCTATGCTGAAAAAAATAGGAATGAAAATCCATGAATGAAATGCCTGCATCTCTTTTATGTTCCAACATATATTCTGTTTTCCTTTTTTGAAAATGTCCGTATGGTTTATAATATTTTTTTAATCGTTATGGAATGTCCCACTTCCACATTTCCATGCCCATACATGAACAAATATAACTATAACTAGATTTGTGTTATCTGATCTTACCAGGCCTTACATGTGCTCTGGTGAACAGAACTCCAGGGTGAGTGGATCGGCTGTTGCGAGCATTTGTGATTTCCCGTTAGTCTGGAGCTCAGTGCTCTGAGGCTGGAAAGCATGCTGGTGCATGGCTCTTCTGACTCACCACCAAACATGCCACTTGTTTTCCCCCAGGGGCTTTTCTTTACAGGGTTGTGAAGAATGAATGGCATTGATAAAAAATAATTATATTTAAATCGGTTTACATACAGCGTAGATATATACTGTGGTGGAAAAGGTGGCAGTGAAATTGATCCAGCGGACAGCGTTCAAGTTGATCAAGATCGCAAGGGTGTCCATGCATCATTTGTAACCCTGAAACTCATCCAAATGCTGAGACAGAGGCTGAGCTGAAAAGCCGAAAGCATTTCATTAACATGTAAAACATTCCTTCCATTTTGGTTTATATAGATTTTGGAAATCTTGCCATGAACATGTTATGCCATGTGCCCATGTATAGCAGGAATGGGCACATGATACAAGGTCTTCTGGTCTTCTGATACAAGGTGTAGTTCCCTATCATGTTTTTTCCATTCTAGGTCAAAGAGTACCTAGTGTTTATATTTTAAGATAAGTCTTTTGTTTTTCAATGAATGCTGCTAAAAATGATTGACATGCTAACATTTAACAGGGCATTTTACAGACCCCTCTTATATACCTCTGCAGTATTTTGCTTCCTTTTAAAGCATGTGTGATGGGAGCAGTCTTCCTTCATGTACGATGGCGACTCATGCCATCCTAATTGGACACTGCAGTGTGGATGTGTGACTCCTTATAATGCAGAAAGTCCATTGCAGAGATTGATCTTGGTGACACTTCATCTGTCATGAGGGGAGGAACAAAGTATCATGGATCTGGCAGTATTTTTTTTTTCTGTTTTGATCAGAACATAATGTTCTCTTCAGACATGTGAAAGGCAGTTCCATTACAAAGCCAATACTGAGCAGGGATCTCAAGGAAGTTAGTTCAACGAGTCCATTCTACAGGTTAGAAACAGATTGTGCTTTGGAAGAAGCAAACGTCCTTTAAAATAAGAATTTAATCAGCTTGAAAGTGAAAAACGTCCCAGGTGTTCCCTTTTCTAGATGAAAGCAGCTCATAGGCTTTCCTCTTTAGAAAGGTTGCAAAATTTCCTGGGGTATTTGGCTTAGGTCACATCATGAAAATGGTGAATAGTGACAGCATTAAACCTGCCAAAAATGGTTTCCACAGAGACTCAGGAAACTCAATATCAAACCAGAAAATAAGTATGTTCTTTCAAGAATGTTTTATTTGAGGACCCTGGGTTCCTTATCAGAGGGAACGTTCAAGGGTTTAAGACTCCTTCCTTTGCAGGCAGTGCTGTTGTCTCCTTGAGTCAGCTACTGGACCCTGATTTAACAGGTCCAGCTAGGTATATAAATGGGTGCCACAAACACTAAAGTGGAACCCTTAGAATGTTTAGTGTCCCATCCTTTCAATTCACAAAATACTAAAGTTAAGACCAGCTCTAGGGAGTGATTTGATTTATGAGGAACTTATTTTAATTTACCATTAAACTCAGGTTTGATTTGTTTCACACATACCCCTAAATATTTTCATGTTGGTGAGCTTCTTTAAGATTGGTTAAGAAAAGCAATTTTCTGTTAACACTTGAGAATTTACTATTTCAGTTAATCTTTATCTTTTTACCACAATAATAAAAATCCAGCCCAAATAATTTGATTTATAGCTTCACATACATTCGTTGTCTATGTTTTCTCACAATTTTTTTAACTCGTGTGGTTCTTTTTGCAAGAAAACATTGATACCAGATAAACAGGAAGATTTTTTTTAGTTTGTTTGATTTCTTAAATGTGATTTATAATAAACAACAAGTTTTGTACACACATTTAATTTTCATTTTCTGAGAGTTACCTGACATAATTCTTTACTGAATAACTGTACAGATCCACACTCTAAAAATGTCTATATACAGTGTTCGCAAGACTGGAATGTTGGCAAATTCTTTCTAAAACTGTACTGGAGTATAAAATCAATTTTTACAATTGTTAACCTTTTCTCAAAACAAAAGGAACAGGACGAATTTCAGAAAGCTTGCATAATAAAAAATCTAAGAAATGCGTTAATGATTCTCTTATTCCCTGTTATACCTTTACAACAAGACTGGTTTGTATATGCAGTTATAAAACATGGTCTCCAACATACAGTATGTTTGTATCTTGATTAAAAAATAGTCAGATTTGGTGCTTAAATTCTAGAGCATCTGTTGAATGTTACTGCTAAAGTGTATTTTTACCTTTCCATACTCCAGTACACAGTTTAAATGCCAAAATTGTGGCTTTGCTTAGGATGACAACTGTAGCTGGCTGCCTGTCTGTAACAGCTGCTATGAGGAATGACTTCCAAAGGTGTTTTTGCCATTTTATTAAAAAGGAGCTTCCTTTTTAATAAAATGGCAAAAACAATAAGCTTTATTGTTTGTAGGTTGACCCAGTAGTGCAGTCTAGCACAGAAATACAGGACACATAACAAAGCTTTCTGACTTTCATAGACTGGGTAGAAAATAATTTATTTAGCAACATTAGTGCAATCCTTTCTTATCTTTGCAAGTACGTACTGGTAATGTCTTACAATATTTTTAAAAATAGTGGTTATAGTATGAGGCTATCCTTCTTAATTATTATCTTCCTCCTCCTGCACTGAAGTGAATAAGAGAACAGCTGTTCCTGTAAAGTGCTTTGCAGTGGAAGCCCTTCATTTCTGTGAATGCATACTCGCCTGTTTTCTGGAATGGTCTGGTGTAGTAGCAGGTCCTATACTGGAAGAATCCTGCAGTTGAGAGGTTGCTGGTTTGTGTCCACAACTATGCTGTTCAGTGAGTATATCGGCCTCACCTCTGTAGTCAGCACTACGCACTACACGACTGGCTGAATGGCAAGTATATAACACTGATCTCTCTGTTTCAGGACCACAACACAATAGCCACATGAAATGTTTAGACTCATGTTCAGTCAGAGCTGTTTTGTTGTGTTGTGTGTGGTTCAGGACCACAACACAAATGCCAGATGAGCTGATTATGCCCATCTCCTGGTGGAGCTCTGTTGTGTGCTCTATCCAGCTACATAAGGCTTGTGCTTATAGCTGATCATTTCAAAATTGGACAGCAGTTGTCTGCCTTTTTATCTAATTTTGTGAAAGGTCTACCTACCAGTCGCCAATGTGATCTTTATTACATTTTGCCAACATTTTAAAGACAATTATTACACCTTTGGGACAAAGCATTAAATATAACATTAAACTAGTCAACCCAGAAAACCTCTGATCTGCACAACACATGGCAGTTCTGAAATGTGATTTGATAAGTGTGATAAAGTACAGTTGTCAGCAATAACTCAAATATAAGTATAACCCATTATATGGGAGCTGTCTGATAGAATATGTGTGACATCCTACTGCTTTTGATCAGGTACTGCAGTAGCCCATAGTTTTTTCAGTATGACACAGCATGTGCAATTTTGAACAAACTTTTCTTACTGACACTTTATTCTATTGAAAACATGGAATTAGTTTTGCCCCAGAGTGATCATATAGGATTTTTATTGTCTGCATAGACACATTGTTGTCCAAGGACATTTCTCTGACATGCCTTTGTTCTGAACTAAATAATAAAAAGTGATACCTATCTTTCACCTGTGCATGTTGTTCATTTACTCGGTCCAGTCATTAACTGTGTCAGGTTATTAGATGACCTATTGTTAAATGTAATTGTCTGGTCTTTCACAAAGTGCTTATTTTCCCATATCTACAGTATGTGTATATAAAATGTCTTACTTGAAGTACATTTAAATGCAATTTACATTACTTTTACATTTGCTAGGGGTGACTTTTTAATGACATTGAAATATATTAGCAGCTGTCTGCAGTCTGAATGTGTATCACACAGCAAAGATATTAATTTCTTAAAATATATTCTGCTCTTGTGAAATGTTCATAGACAAACCAAAAAATCAGGAGAATGCATATCTATCATCCCTTTAATGAACATACAATAAGCAAACATATTTTAAATTAAAAAACACAGATCTCTAATGTGACCTTGTTAGTTTTATCTTGTGTATTTCTTATTTCAGTTGTATTCCAATCTCCTCTTTCATATCTTGTGCAAACAAGAATATCTGTAAGACCACTGTGCTTGTTTTAATTGTATAGTACATTGGCCAGGTAGGTTTTGCCAATCTGAAATGATTAAAACAGAGTCAAAGAAGGAAATTGCATTAAATGTTTTCAATTCCAAACATGTTTTTTAAGTCTTTGATGAAACTGTCCTGCTATTTATTTATTTGCTTCACTTCAAATTAACCCTGAATGAATTTCAATTTGAAAGTATGTTTGAGACAAATAGGTTATGTAAGTCTTTTCTTGTTAATTTATTAAAATAGGATTTAGAAAACAGCTTTGGTAACATCGTAGACTTATGCTTTGGTCTACACTCAATTTGTCACATAGGAATTGATTGCAATTGATTTCTCATTGTTGTTATGTTTTCTCATCAGCTAGCATATTGTTTGGAATCATCAATGAGCCAGGAGAATATAATAAAAAGTGTGTTAACAGCTAAACTACAGTATAGAAAGCACTGTCGATTCCACTGAAACTTTGATTCTCTGAATAATGCCTCAATTCTTATGTTCCTTTCAGCTTTTTCTGGATTGTAAAATGGATTGTCCCACTGACTCTGGGGGGGATGTTGCTATCTTGTAGTTACAGGACTTGCCTCTGACCTTGGGCCGTGTAGTTGAACTCCCTTCCACTTTGTAGGATTGGTATAGTCCACTCAACTGAGCTGCCTGAACCTTGAAGTGAAAAATGAAATAAGCTCGTCCTTGAGGAACACTATGCCATTAAGGCCAGGCCCTTATAGAAATAATCTTTAGATTCCACAGAAGGAATTGATTTCCAATAGTAATCCTGATGTGTTGTAAGATACAATTCCAACAAACTTCTGCAAAACAAAAACATAGATGCTAGATAATCATTTCAGTTTCACTGGATTCCTTCACACTTATTTTGCAACTTTCTAAATCCTAACTAAACATATTTCTCTTTGATGAGATAAAGTACCCAGATTCAATTACACAGCATACACATCTTACAATTCATCACGTATTAGTGAAACAAATAAGAAGGCATGAAATAACTCTTAAGTGGTTACTAGTCACTGTGCCTTGTCACAATTGCAGAATCCTTTTCCTTTTTCAGGAGGATTGTAACAAGATATGCCAGTGATGCTTTAAAATATAATTGTCCCACATACAGTAGTGATTTCAGCAAAAGAATGTGTGTCTACAAACATAAGATAATGTTGGCCAATACCTAAATTAATTACAAATCATATTCATGTGTGACTGATGGCAATGTGCCTTGACTGTCCCTTGAAATGTTGAATGTCATAAAGAATGGTCACTAGAGCAATGAATGAATTAAGGCTCTTCTTACAGGCCAGTGAATTTCATATATACTGTATATATTTCATGTGCTAAGGTTGTGTCTGGGGCACAGTGGTTGTGCCCTACAGTATTAGCCTTATATGTTATCCCTCTCTCTTGTCCTGTGTCAGCAATAACCACAGAGAACGTTAACTGAAGTGGGCTTGCAGCAAATAGCTGCTCTGATGGCAAAAGGCAGAATACATCTGTATCACTGCAGGTCCCACAATGTCCTTCAGTGTACAAATCTTGAGAACATTCAGCATTCGGAGACAAATTCCATATAATGACGCCCAATTACATCTCCCTCTAGTTTTCTGTTTCCCTTCTTACAATAATGACAATGCGCAAGGAGGTCATTAAAAATGTATTTAACTGTACCTATTTCAGGCAGCACGGTGACACAGTGGCTAGTATTGCTGCTTCTCAGTGTTAAAGTCCTGGTTTCAATCCCAGACCTGGGGTGCTAACTCTGTAGTTTGTATGCTATCCTGTGTTTGGGTGGGTTTCCTCCCATTGACCAAAGACCTACATGTAGGTCAATTGGCTACTGGGACAACTGCCCCTGATGTGTTTGTGTCCGAGTGCACTCTGCAATGAACTGGTTTATCTTGCTCTGTGCCCATTGCTTACCAGGTTAGGCACTGCCTCCCCCAAAACCAGGCATTGGATAAAGAGGTTAGAAAATGGATAGATGTACATATACATTTGTTTTAATATAACTGAATTAACTACATTTTTTTTCACATCATGACTCGTTATTGGTAATTATTAAAATGATTAACATAATCCCTTTAGCGACAATACCATAAGGCTGTAACGGTAGGAGTGGTAGGCCCGTTGTGAGCATCACCACCTTTACATTGAAACAACCGAGCAGTTTTTTCTAGTACGCTGTTGTACTCTAAAATGACTCCCATGATATTTATTCTAGACAACAAATACAAGTCTTTTTTCCCCAAACACTTCCTTGCAACTATGTATGATAAACATTAATACAGTTTCGCATACATAAAAACATAGTATAGACAGTCCGCACTATTACAGTGAATTCGGTTTTGGTTTTCGCTATAGCAACTACACCCATTCTCGTGTTTACTTCGCGAGAGAGGAAAAAAGGGTGGTGTCTCAGAACCCTTAGCTCGTGACGTGTTTATATGATCACTGACGCAACCATCTTAAAAACTGTTGATTGGATGTTTGTATTCCATACTCCACCCACTAGGTAATTTGGATACGCCTCGTCCGTTGACGCCCATTTCCGCTGTACTGCTCGCGGACTCGCAGTCGCCATTTTCCAGCGGAGAATCTGAAGGAGCAGTAGGTAGGTGTGTGGGTAGTCGGCGAAGGTCATTGTTTAAATGTTGTTTAAAATGTAGTATACGTAGCTTCTTTTTATATTGTGCAATAATACAGAAATTGATTGCTCGCCAGTAGTATTCAGTGTATGTGTAAAAAATACGTGTTTAATCGGCATTTTCGCCAATTTTCTCTTGCTTACACAACATGAGGGGCGCTGTTTGCAGCGCCGCATTTGTCGATCGGTGATCTCGATATTTTTACCTTGCTTTCTGTTCCTGTAATAGAAGAACCACATTTTCATGAACAAAGATCTCTAAGCTTTGGGAATATTTAACTTTAACCCTGGTAACTGAGCGATTAGTTAAAATCCGAAACGTAGTTTTTTATTGTTATTTACATGTTAAAGGCTAGGTAAAGTGGCTCAGGGATGGGGAAAAAATAAAAACTGTACATTTTTCTTTTTCTTATTGTTTGGTTGAATTTACGTTATGTTAAGTTCCGTAATGGCTGCCTTTGAGCATATATACGTTTGGATGCGAAGATGGCGTGTCGTAGGCCCTGCAGTGGTCGTGATGGGCGACGTCGCTTTGCAGGCCTCGCGTTTTCTTTGGAGGGGCTGGTCGATTTGCGTAGGCCTGTGCTACGTCAGCCACCCCTGGGGATCCAAAGAAGGCCTAGTGTGAGCTGCAGCTCCTGTCAGCTGACTAGCGCGTCGAGGCTTGGTCTAAAAACAGCGTGGACGTGCTGCCTGGCCCGTGGCGTTCGCGGGTTTACGTATCCATGTTGAAGGATTGCTTCCGCTGCTCCATCTTATTTCCGTTTTAGATTTTAATGTGGCGTTTTGGAAGCTTTGCATTTCATGATTGTATTGTAGCCTCAACAATTTTTAACTCTTAAAAATTCAACTCATCTGGAACCTTGCTTAATCCCCCGTAGGTATAACTACACATACATAGTCTGCTACAAATAGACTTTTTACGTGTTTTAATTTATTTTTATTTTTTTTGAAAGCGTTGGTTAAACGTGTTTCTAGACTGCTGAAGTGTCTAATTAGTTTATTCTCTTAATGTAATCGAGAGAACGTTTAAAATAGCTAGTTTTCCGGTTTACATTTTTGTGGAAATGGAGGTTATGATTGGAGAGTTGATATTTATATTGTGGGAGGCTAAGACTTCGTTTCTTTGTGCAGCTGTAAACATGAGCGGTTGTCGTGTCTTCATCGGGCGCTTGAGTCCCCACGCCAGGGAGAGGGATGTGGAGAAGTTTTTCAAAGGCTACGGGAGGATTCGGGAAATCAGCCTGAAGAATGGCTTTGGGTTTGTGGTAAGTTTATTAGTGTGTTTGTATCATATTTTATCGAATCGGGTGCTCACATTGCTTGTGTCTTATAAGAACGTTTAGAGCATCAATTTTTGTCTGTTTCCTAATTCTGCAGGAGTTTGAAGATCACAGAGATGGTGATGATGCAGTCTATGAATTAAATGGCAAGGAACTCTGCAGTGAAAGGTATATTTTTAAATCTGTATGCCTTAGAAGTTACAGCTGTTTACAGTTGCTGAACTGGAATTTTTTTGTTGAAAGTTGAATGTTGGGATTGATCAGCTTGAATTGATTTTACACTTTGATTTCACTACCAATGTATACTTTTGATCACCTTAATGTAAAAGTGATTTTTAACATATTGCTTTAAGGCATGATCACTGTCCCAAGAATGCGAAGACTGTACAACTTGGTTAGGTGTCTGGCAAAATAAAACCTCGATTGGCATGAAATCTGTTCCTATGGTACTGTATTTAAGTTGGGTTGAAATTCTCGTTGACCCAAGCCTTATGTGCCTTACGATGTGTTTAGGGTCACCATCGAGCATGCGCGCTCTCGCAGAGGGCGGGGGGGTGGAGGCGCTGGAGGAGGTGGCAGGTTCTCTCCCCGCTTTGGCAGCTATCGCCAGTCTCGCAGCAGTGGCTCACGGTAAGCAGCCGTCTTCTGCCAACAGCTCGCCGTTTCTAGACTTGTTCAGAGCCAGACAGCACGTTCTGTTGGAACCTCACCTCGAACCCCAAAATATGTTGTGATTTGGGGATCCTAAAATGTTTTGCAAAGAGCCCCCCCCCCAGTCGTAAAATGAGAATAGATTGTGATTTATATGTTCTGAAATGTTTTGGGTATGTAGAGGTTTAGAAGTTGCAAGTAATATTGTAAAAGAAAATCAGATTTGGTTGGATTTTAAAATGACTTTCAGTTTTTAGAATGATCTTTAGGTACACTAGCATGTAATATGAAAAGGGGACCTCAGAAGTGTGAGACTGGGGATCTGTAATGCACATGTAGTGCCTTTTTAGACACCCCACTCAAAGGTAATGGGGATTCCCCTCCACCACCAATGTGTAGCCCCACCTAGATGATGCAATGGCAAAGTGTGCCAGTAGGGTCACCACACATCAGTTATCAGTGGGAGGAAAGCAGTAATAAAGCCAATTCATAGATGGGGGTTGTTAGAAGGCCATGATTGGTAAAGGCCAGGAGGAAATTTGGCCAGGACACTGGGCTAACACCCCTTCTCTGTAGCAGTGTTGGTATAGGGACCATTAAGTCCTTTTGTTTTCTGCATCAGCTGTAGGAATGGATTGCTTTGTTTTCAAAAGGCAGTTTTAAAGCCGTCTTGATTGCTTTTTCAGGTATGGCCCCCCAGTGCGCACAGAACACAGAATCATTGTTGAAAACCTCTCTTCTCGGATAAGTTGGCAGGTGAGGAGGCTCAACAGGATTCACTTTAAATTTGTGGAAATTGCATATTACTTCAGTGTTTGTTCTGTTATATGAAGCAGCTTTATTATTTTATAAAGTGGTGTTTTAAATTAAAATCCTTTGCTATTTGTTTTAAAAACATCACACTTTTTTCCCCTCTATTTTAAAGGTGATTTTAAATGCAGATTTATGACTTCCACTCTGGAATCTCAAATTGAGAGCTGAAGTTCGAGAAGCTGCTTACCTTTGTCTGGCAGCAAGTTCACAACCCCACCCCTAACCTTGCAGGTGTATCTTTCTCTCATCCTTAGTACTTATTTGGCCTTTCAGTTCCACTATGCTGGAACTTCAGAAGCTTTTTGCTTTTGCTGTTTTATAGTTAAGTTGATCAATACACATTGAAGATTCTTACTCTTTATTTATAGATTTAAATCTTCTAGTGAAACAAAGTTTCTAACGAGCATATAACCCTTTTTTAACAGCTGCTTTTGTTATGTTGTGCGCAGTTGCATGTACCCATCTCTCCCTTACAGGAATGTACCTGGGGGGGAGTCTAATGTGAATAGCGCCATCTGCTGGTGTGTGTTCTGAATAGTGTCCATTTGGTGCCTCTCCCTACACACAGTTGCCGGTGGTCTATATCTTGGCTGGGCCCCATAGCGGGTGAAAGTGGTCTAGCGCAGGTCAACTTTAGGAGGTCCATAGCTGCAGTCTGGAGGGTCCGTGGTCTGGCTTCCCTGCCTTTTCCCCTTCCCTGTTTGGTTAATCGGTTGGCTGACGGAAAGGGTGGCGTTAACAGTTGGCGCCTCTTTGCTGTGGTGGTTCCTTACTTGTGGAAGTTGGATTCCGAGACCCCCAAGGCCAAGGTCCTTTCTGAAAGGCTATGCACTGCATTGGTCCTGGTTTGCTATTTGGACAAGTGGCTCTTTGCTTAAGGTCTGCCTGGGTTCTGAACGGTAAGTAGCACAAAGCTAATGTGATGGGGATTATGTAAGGGTTGGGAGGATAGTGACCAGGGTGGTGGGTGGAAAGGTTTAGACAGTTTACAGAGATTCAGAAAATTTCCACAGCATTCCAAAGATCCAGATGTTCATTTCTCATTAGACCCAATACATAAAGTATATTTAAATTACAATGAGACGTACTAGGTGATGCTGATTTGGGTAAACAGAAAACAGAATTTTTTTCTCAAGCATAATTATGTGGGGTGGTGCAGAAATGAATATTTTGCATTCACCACTCTAGAATTGGAGTTGCCCCCCCTCACACACGCAAACCTGTTTGACCTTCATAGTAAATATAGTGCTCATTAGGCTATTAGAAATTTTAAATCCCCAAGTAGGTGGGGGTGGGGGGACAGATACTATTTTCTTCACAGATATCTGATTTTATACATTTTAATGTAGGTTTTGTGAAGGCAGGAGCTATTTGCTTACTAATACATGGTATTTTCTTAGAACAGTTTAAATTGGAGTTTTTTTTACAGGGGTGTGCTATATTTTATTTAGTTTTTAGAGAATCCAGTCTGTTTTGGAATGTGATCTTTGCATTCTAATATTTTGTCAAAAGCCAGTTCTGAGATGTAGTGGTCAGACACTGCACAGGTGTCAGGTTTTACATGGAACATGTATATTCAGATTTTAATATAGAACATTCTTCTGTCTTCAGCTGTAGATGAGGTGGCAGCTTGTCTGGATAAGTACAGGTGTTCTGGAACAACCTTAAACCCCCCCCCCCCCTCTTAAGTTATCTGTTAGTCTTCTGAGTATTTAATGTTTGATCACAGAACTGCAGACTGGCTGTATAAATGCGTAAATGCCTCTTAGAAGGCATGTCATTCTGTCCACGCAATGTTGGACAGATAAATATTTTGAGCTGCATAAAATTCGTTTTGTAGGGCCATGCCTTAACTTCATTTTATTTGTAACACAGGATTTGAAAGATCTGATGAGAAAAGTTGGTGAGGTGACTTTTGTGGATGCTCACAGAACCAACAGGAATGAAGGGTAAGTACTTTGTGAAAGAACCGCATCATTTAGGAATAGGGCTGTAGCACAGCATTGATAGTTAAGCTGAGTACACGTCATTAAGTATCAGTTCCAGTAGCTTTATTGTGGAAGCAAGTTTTCTCAACGTAGTCTTATGAAATTCTTAAACCTTATTAAAGAAGAGGCTAAAGTGAAGGTCCCATTTGAGAAGGCATAACACTTCTGTAAATTACTGTAACTATTAATGTTTAAAATGCAAATTTCATTCTTTTCAGTGTGGTTGAGTTTGCCTCTCGCAGTGATATGAAGAATGCTATTGATAAACTAGATGGGACAGAGCTGAATGGACGCAAGCTCAGACTCACTGAGGATCGCAAGAGGAAGTACGTACAGCCAAAACTACTTTAACCACACCTTGTGTTGGCATTTTGAATGTTTTTTTATATGACTTCAAATTCTAGCTTCATTTCACATATCTACTACTGAAACTTTGTTAGTTTCTAGGAGTTGATTGGTAAAAGTTTACTAATGCAGCTTCCAGAACCACTCATTAATCCTTGTACTTGACCAATTTGCATATGGTTGTGTATTTTGCCAGGTGAATGTCCTGACATTCTTCTCAGTGGAAGAGTGTGTGGTAGTCAACTATATTGTGGTTAAAGATAAAACACCTAAAGGGCAGTGAACAGTGTTTGCTAAAGGGGCATATAGTGCCAGTGACTACAAATGGCATTTACATTGGTATGAATCATTGTAAATGCAGAATGTGATGAGGCACATACTTTTACCTGTTAATATAGGTATTCAAAGATACCTGTCTGTTTTGTCATGGTAAGACAAATTGGTTAGTTAATTTCAAATTAGGCGTTAAGAGCTGAGCTAGAATGAAAATCTGGGGACAGTGGACCTCCAAGGCTGGACTTGGGCATCTCTGCAGTAGGGTCTCTACAGTGGGAACCCAACAGAAGAGCTCAGCAGTCCTGTTCTGAAGAGCCATAGTCCCGATGGTTTTATGGACAACCTTAAAAGATTGTTGAGCTGAAGTCTGGAAGGAGAGTTGACTACTCCCAATTACCCGATGGATCCAATCAAGTTATTCACGGCTTCACTGAAATATCTGGGTGCCCCTGGCTGTGTGGCTTGAGCTGTGGACTTGCACTCTGCAGGAAATGAACCGGTTTTTGAATGTGATCTGTGTTCCTTGCTGGTAACTCGTTTTTTCTCTGCTTCTTCCAGCCGGAGCAGAAGTCGCTCCCGATCCCGTAGCTACACCCGGTCCCGCAGCCGGTCTCACTCCAGGAGTCGCTCCAGGTCCCGGAGCCGCAGCAGGAGCCGCAATCGCAGCCGCACTCGTACTCGCTCGCGCTCTCTGAGCCGCACCCCGGAGAAGAAGACCACGGGCCGCAGTGGCCCCCGCTCTCCTTCCCGGTCCAGGTCCCGGTCCAGATCCAGATCTGCATCCCACTCTCCCCCGCCCCCAAAGAGACAGTCCCGCTCCCGCTCTCGCTCCCACTCTCGTTCTCGGTCCCGGTCCCGCTCCCGCTCTCGCTCACAGTCTGCCGAGACTCAGCAATGAGGTCAGCTGCACTCGGCAAGTCTAGATTACGCATTTGCAGTGTGGCTACAGTCAGTGATGTTCAAAACAATACTGGAGGCAGGTGCTCTGAAGTTTTTAACTTTGTTTTCAAGGTGAGTCTTGGTAGATCCTGTGACTGCAGTGATCACAAAAATTTCTTTGCAGTCCCAAACTACTTCATTTGGTATTTTCAGACTGCAGTTGACCAACTTTTTATTTTTGCATTTCCAGCTATCTAGAATTCTACTGGATGGTATTTGTATTTGCCCTGCTATTTTCCTCCTGGTGCATACTATAATTTTCCTGTCAAAGAAGCCTCAACCCTTTTGTGTTTTTGACTTAATGTAAAGTAGTTTTTCTTCTGATATTATGTATACTTGCAGTAAATGTCAGAATTGTGCAAAACCATTGTTTTGTAATTATCCTTATTGGTCTTTATACTGCCATTGTAGCTAGGGCTTCTGATTTTTTTTATGTTCAATAAAGACCATTAAAACACTTGTGGTGTAGGGAGATTAAATTAGTTTTCCCAATAAACACTGCAAACTGGAGTTTTTTGGTTTACATTGACTTCACACTTTCTCTATACAGTTTGAAATGCAGATCATCCCACATATTGACTGCACTCAACTCTGTAGATCTGGTGTAAAGACTTGTCTAGATTAAAACAGTTGTAGATGCACCATGGATTTTAAAAACACTGGGAGCTGTTTTCACACAGGTCTAAATTAGCCCTGTGTTAGGCAAGATTGTCTAGAACTAGAGCTGTCTGGAGTTTTGTAAACCAACCCTAATTGTGCAAAATATTGCAAAAAAGTATTTGGTCACAATTCAGTGTGCTCCTGATCACACCATGAATATTAATGAAATAAAGGAGGTAGTGTATAAGTATTGCCGGGTTACAAGATCTTTTACCCAGTGAGTGACTAAAAATGCAATTCTGTGTTTCCAGAATACCTGTAGTCTAAAGTTATAAATTTGGTCTTGTATATATGCAGCAATATAAACACTTTGATATGGATACCAAATGTACTGGAGAATGCATTTTCAAAGTTTCTGACAACACAAAAGTAGTTAAAAGCATAGGCCCTGTGTATTTTAAATGGTACTTTTGATTCTTCAATAACAAGGGTTCTCTGAGGCAAAATTAGATGGTTTTTACAGGAAGATCAGGGTCATTCTCATGTAAAACTATGGACCTACTTGGAGTTGGACTAAATTGGTCAAGGTAAGCTCGTAATTAGCTCAGTTCTCAATGCAGGTATGAAATTAAACCAAGTTAACACTGTAGCCCTCCACAACTGGAGTTGCTTTGCTGCATTGACAGGTGAAACGTGGTGGTAGTTTGGTCTGTAATATATCTTGCTTTCTTCAGTTTCGAAGATATTAAATTTGCAATTGATTGTAGAGATGCTTATTGAACCGTAAAGCTTCATAAACATTTAGCACCCTCAAGATGTATATGCTGTGGGATGCAGTCCTGTTGTACAGTTTTTTCTGGGGTATAAATTTTGAGAATGGACTTGGAAGTTACTGTTGACTTTAGATCTAAATTCTTTTGCTATGAAACTAATTTCTTCGTGGGGGAGCTTTTTTAATACACAACTTTGTAGATTCAGTTCTTCCACTCCCTAGTCTTTGTCCACTTTGTGTAACACAAGAGTTGCTGAAAACCTGCTGGTGATGGCAGGTTAATGTCAAGATTTGTCCGATGTTGAGTATTTAAACTGTGAAATGGATTTATTGCTTTAATAAAAAAAACTGATGATCAATATATGTTAATTGGTTTTATTTTTTGTGAACACTTTTCAATGTGATATGTCCATGGGTTGTTACCTTCAGCTTAAGGATAAAACTCAATCAACTACACTTGTAACATTTTGAAAATTGGTGATTGTCACCAATGCCCTGCCCACAAAATGCTTATTATTGCTGATACTATGTAATATATGCTGTGCACTCAGTGGCCATTTTATTAGGCCTTTCTAGTATCGGATAGGGCACCCTTTTGCCTCCAAAACAGCCTGAATTCTCTGTGACATGGCTTCAACAAGGTGCTTGACATTCCTTAGGGATTTTGGTCCTTGCTGACACAATAGCATCACACATTCATGCTGTGAACCTCCCGTTCCACCTCATCCCGAAGGTGGTCTACTGGATTGAGATCTGGGGACTGTCCAGGCCATTGGAGTAAACTGAACCAGCTTGAGGTGATGCATGCTTTGTGAAATGGCGCATTATCCTCCTGGAAGTATCCATTTGAAAACAGGTAGACTGCTGCAATAAAGGAATGCCCATGGTCAACAACAATGGTTAAGTACGCTGTGGCATTCAAATGATGCTCAGTTGGTATTAAGGGGCCTAATGTATGCCAAGAAAACATTCCCCACACCATTACATCACCACCAGACACAAGGCAGGATGGATCCACAGATTCATGCTGTTTACACCAAATTCTGACCCTACTATCTGCGTGTCGCAGCAGAACTCGAGATTCGTCGGAGCAGGTGACGTTTTTCCAGTCTTCAATCGTCCAGTTTTGGTGATCATGTGCCCACTGTCACCTCATCTTCCTGTTCTTAGCTGACAGGAGTGGAACCTGGCATGGTGTTTTCCTGCTGTAACCTATCCGCTTAAAGGTTTGATGCGTTGTGCGTTCAGAGATGCCCCACTGCACACCACTGTTGTAAGGAGTGGTTATTTGAATAGTTGTGGCCTTTCTGTCAGCTTAAACGAGTCCGGCTATTCTCCTCCGACCTCTCTCATTAAGGTGTTTTCGCCCACAGAACTGCCACTCACTGGATGTTTTTTGTTTATCACACCATTCTCTAAACTCTAGAGACTGTAGTGCATGAAAATCCCAGGAGGTCAGCTGTTTCTGAGATGTTGGAAACAGTATCTGTGGTAGAAAAAAGTCTGGTATAGTACCAGCGATATAGTATACTTGAATGTGCCTCCTGCATTTTTATCATCATGAAGCTGGAAGACAACAAAGCAAAGGTGAATTGTTCAGGAAACAAATAAAGATCACATCTCTTGTAAACTTGTGTAAATTGAAGAAGTAGGAATTCAGCTCACACTTGGAGCACTTGGAACTTAAGCAATAACATATTTGTATGTCTTAGCCAATTTGATATAAGATAAGTGGTCAGATGATGAGACTTCCTAAGAGACGGCAATGTATGTAAATGTACAGGTTGGCTTCCCCAAAGTTGTTTAAGTGATTACCTCAGTGGTCTGTTAAGTATATCTGCAACAACTGACTCATAGATTATTTAAGAGATTGAACTGAAATGAGTTTAAACTGTGAAGAAATGTAACTGAACAGGCATCTCAAAACAGCTTCAATGTAATGTGACTGTGCACTTTACATGCTTTTCTCTTTTTAGGTTCAAGAGCTTAACAAAGGTTCCAAATGAGAGGCATTCACTCCTCCTTCCTTCATTTGGATGCTAGTTAATTAATTATCAGGAATTCTATTGGTTTCTTAAAAGCAGGTGGCATAGTAGGCAGTACTGCTGTTTTACAACTCCAGAGACCTTGGTTTGACTTTGTGGAGTTTGTGTTGTGTTTGTTTAAATGTGGGATTTTTTCTGTGCTCTGATTGTCTGCCACAGTCCAAATCCACACCACCTATCAACTTTCTAACCGCTTCTTCCAGGTCAGGCTCACGGGGGGGTCTCCTCTCCCAGCAAGCAACGGGTGCAAGGCAGGATACACCCTGGAAGGTACGCCAGTCCATCACAGAGCAGACAGACACAAACACAGACACAGTCTCACTCACACCAGGGCCATGTTTCCTAGAAGACAGTTAACCTACCAATATGTTTTTGGACTGTGGGAGGAATCCGGAACACCCTGAGGAAACCCATATGAACCCAGGGAGAGCATGCAAACTCCACACAGTTAGCACCCCATAACCCCATGCTAATCACTGTGCTATCATGCTGTCCTCCAACGCTGTAGTATACAGTTTAATTGATGGTGCACTGCAATGGATAGGAGGCCTGCCTTATCTGTGTGTAGTCTGCATGTTCTCTCTTTTCACATTTTTTGCCAGATGCTTTGGCTCCTTCGCATATTTTGAACACACAGGGGTTTCTAATTGTCCTTGTGTGTTTGTCCTGCAAAGGACTTGTGTCCCATCCAGGGTGCAATCTCACCTTGCACAAACTTTTTCTCATTCAGACATCGTTGATGATTAATATAATTCTAAGCATTTTCCAAGAATGAAATATAGTTCCAAGAAAATGGAAACTTGATATTACAGAGTTCCTGTAAGAGCCTGTTTTCACACTGAAGCTTAAAGCTGAAATATTTGGATTGGTTTTTAACAGAGGCCTTTCGCATTATTTGGATTGTTTGTATTTACGATCCAGTCACCCTGATACCCATTTGCCATCTAGGACTCTTTTGTTTTTGCATAAATGGATCCTTTAACTTTTCTGTTAAAATGATTCCTGGTGTCAGAAGATCATCTTTCTAATTCTTTCTAATGCTATTACATTGTTGTAGGGTGTCTTACATTGAGCACTCTTCTAAATGAGTACAGGCTATATCATGGTAAGTCTCAAGCAATCCTCTCGTTATTTAATTTACACGTTTTTCTTACCTTAATTGACTTGATGTGGACATAGAAGAATCTATATCTTGAATATATATACTATAATGAAACAAAATGTTGGGCCTTATTAGGAATGAAGTATTGGGCTTTAGTTGACTGTGCAAGGATGCATTTTGCTTTTGTTCAGAGTGCTATTTTCTCAAGGAGAAGAGATTATGTAACAACGTGAAGTCACATGCCGTAAAAAAAAACATATCTGGTGAATACTTAAAAGGCATAAGTCTTTGTTTAAACTTAATTGTTTCGGTCTATATCCTTATAGTCCTGCACATCTTCAAATAAATACAATTGTGGAAAGCATTAAACATTATGCCTCCAGCCTGCGGTAGATACATTCCTCCCATTATAGCTGTTCAACTTTTTCCAGATGAACACCACATGATTTCTGTAAATGAACCTGATTGGAATGTACACTTTTAGGTATTTGGATGTGTGCTTTTCCAGCTTTTTTCAGAATCGTAATCGAATAAAAATGGTGGTTGTCAGACTGCCACATTTGCTGTTTGCAGTGGTTCATACATACGATATACACTTGGTAACACAGCTGAACAAAAAAACTGTCACCTCCACACTGCCATAACAGGAAATGCTCCTTTTTAATATTTATTTTCAATCCAAAAGTATATATAGAAAAAAGAAGCTGCTTTAGGACTGGGATTGGGTATGAAAAAGTTATTTGGAGATTGGGTCTGCATTAATTGTTAATTGTTGAAAATTATTAATTGTAGGTTACAATTAGATTATTATTGTAGATTACAGTCTTCAGTCTTCAGGTTTTTGTTGACTGTCACCCTTGGGGCTTTTACCTGTAGTTTTGTAGTTATGCTCCTGTTGGCCTTGTAGGAATTTTAATTTCAGCCATTTACAGTATTTACAAATTTACAGTATAGCATGAAGAGATTTGAAAATGGATGTACTAAAAAGCATTGGATTGAGTGCGACAGTATCCTTCTGGTGTACTTATGGATACAACTTCATTTGCATAGCCTTCAATTTTGTGAGAACATAAGAACATCTACAAAGAAGCCCTTTTAGTAGTTAGTAGCTAATTGATCCAAGGATCTGATCCAACTGTTTATTGAAGCACGCCAAGGTATCAGCTGCAAAAACGTGACTGAATGCTTTTCCATATCCCCACAACTCCTTGGGTAAAAAAACACCTGCTGTTCTTGGGGTAAATGCAAGACTTAAAAGGTTGAGTTCCTTCAGCCTGTCAGTGTAAGGCATTCCCTTATGGAACGTCATAGGTTTCTCTTCTCTGGACTGATTACAGAGCTGCAATATCTTTTATGTAATTTGATTGCCAAAATTGTACAATATGTTCTAAATGAAGGTCTTACTGGAATTTTATACAATTTTAACATACCTTGAATTCAACTCTCATTTTGTATCTATACTGTATATCCTAACATCGATTTTTCCTTTTAAACTGCTTCCCTGCATTAGTCTAGAAGGTGTAAACATACAGTACATATTTCCCTCAATGCCTACCATCTGTAATTTGATAATCTTATATCAAAAGCTTTTTAAGAATATAAATACATTGTCATATTTTCTGTGTATTCCTTACTTGATACTTTTATTGTATAAATTACATAATGCACTTATGTTTCATTGGAAAAGTTGGCCATCCAAAGATACATGGATTTCTCAACAAAATAAACATTGGGGTTCCTTTAACAAGTCAGATGAAAAAGGAGTATTTTCCTCAGACTGCTGGTTTGCTCATACAACCAAAATCAAGAACTGATCAAAATGTCTGACAATGTAACGTAATGTATCTCTTGTCATTGACAAATCTACAGATGTAAAAGATCACTGTTTTGCATGGTTTGTTTTACAAGGAAAATCAAGTACTGGTGATTTGATCATTATTCTAGTTGACAATTGATCTGCTTTCTGAGAACTACTCCTTGGTGGCACAGGACAGTGAGAAATGTTTAAATGTATTTGAAGATGACTTCAAATGTAGTTTGGTTTGTCTCAGATAATGCCAGTTACATAAATAAGTCCAACAAAGACAAATATTTTTACTGACTAATTGTTAAATGTCCTGACTCCTGAATTTGACATGTAATGCTCCATATCCATTGTGACATATGGTGAATTTCCTTAAAGCAGTCCAGCTTGTTGCAACAGCAGAAAAACTA